GAGAGAGAGAGAGAGAGAGAGAGAGAGAGAGAGAGAGAGAGAACGCGCGCGCGAAAAAAAGGGAGAGAGAGAGGTTGGAGAGAGTAAAAAAAAAGAGAAAGGCAGAGAAAAAAAGATTGAAAATAAGCGAGCGCTCAAAATATAGGACGACGCAGGTGGGCAGTTCATTAGCTAACGCACTTATCTCTACCCGCCCTCTCTGTATGCTCCCTATGGCCAAGTAATAGACTTTAGAACGAACGCGCTACAGAGATGATGCAACCAGATTGTTCAGTCACTTACAACTAAAGAGGCAAGTGTCGCAAATAAGCCATATCGGAAAGTCCCCGCCGCCATATTGAGATCAGATAAGACGGGGTATAAACTGCCCGTTTATAACATGGGTAGAACAGAACTATTCTAGGTTTTTGATCTATAATTCTCTTCACTAACATCGTACTTCAATTTACATGTGCGTTTCTGTTTACATAAACATTTACAAATATGATTGTGGTCGTTTGGGATATTTTGCAATGTTTGTGTTAATGCAAAAACTAAAAACGAGTGTTTACATTAATCATGTACTTTCCTAAGCGCGCCTCGGCCATTTTATACCCCCTTTTCTGTGACTTACAAAGCACAGCTGGACTTCTCGATCTCACTTATTGAGGGCAGTAGATGATAATGACCATGATGCACATTTTATGTGATTAGATAAAGAAAACGTTGACGTAGTTTGCGTGCGAAGCGACACCAGGCGGTCAGGAATTCAAGTCGCACGTCGGTCGTTACTGTCTGCCATCAGGATGTCGGATATCAGCGCCCTCTGCCGGGCCACACTGCGCATGAACAAGGACGATAATAGAGGAGGCAAAGCGCTTTACATTTTTCTTAGAGAGGAAAGAACTTCTATTCCTGGGTATGTGTTCTCGTTTATGAAATGAAAAAAACCACCATAATGCGCACATACGCACTTAAAGTAATTTGATTACTATATGGGCGAAGAGTGAAAAGTTCATACATAGCTGGTGATATAGTCATAAAGGTTCGAAAACTTGCTAACAATTCCTTATTCCGATACCGAAGGGCAGATGGCGCCAGTATAGATAGATTCGTTCTGAAGCAGCATAAACATTATCGTATAGAAAATACCAGACGAATTCTCCGCTGTAACGTGCCAAATTCGTTTTATTGCTACTAAATTATTCATTTGATACATAAATTATGCGCTTATTGCACAACCGTTATCAGCATTCTAAAATGTAATTGCCAATTGTTTGTCTGGCTCCTTTGCGCACTAACTTTAATGGGTTCTTTAAAACCTCGAATTGACAGCTCACGTTTTCTTCACGCCTAAAGGCCACCATTGTCTACCATACAGATTAGCACATTCAAATCCATATTACAGATATCAATATCAGAAATTGATCAAAATTGTCAATTATGACGCAAAGAGAGGGTAGAAAAGGGAGCAAACAACTGATCACATACACTCACGGTTACACCACTGTGTATAGTTACAGCTGAACAATCACATACACTCACGGTACCACCACTGTATGTAGTTACAGCTGAACAATCACATACACTCACGGTACCACCACTGTATAGTTACAGCTGAACAATCACATACACTCACGGTACCACCACTGCGTAGTTACAGCTGAACAATCACATACACTCACTACCCCTTACCCCAGTATCATCTGCGTTACAGCTGAACAATCACATACACTCACGGTACCACCACTGTATAGTTACAGCTGAACATCAACATACACTCACGGTACCACACCACTGTATAGTCACAGCTGAACAATCACATACACCACGGTACCCACCCGTAGTTACACTGAACAATCACATACACTCACGGTACCAACCACTGTATAGTTACAGCTGAACAATTACATACACTCACGTACCACCACTTTTATAGTTACAGCTAAACAATCAAACATACACTCCATCGGTACACCACTGTATAGTTACAGCTGAACAATCACATACCCTTAATGGAAGTAACCCTCCCCCCCACACACACAGATGCTTAAAGTCAAACGTTCTAATGGAAACGTAGTATGTGTTCGCCCGCGCGTGCGTGTGATCGTGTGCGTGCGTCAGTGTGTGTGTGTGTGTGTGTGTGTGTGTGTGTGTGTGTGTGTGTGTGTGTGCGTGTGTGCGTGTGTGTGTGTGTGCGTCAAGTGTGTGTGTGTGTGTGTGTGAGTGTGCGTGCGTGTGTGTGTGTGTGTGTGTGTGTGTGTGTGTGTGTGTGTGTGTGTGTGTGTGTGTGTGTGTGTGTGTGTGTGTGTGTGTGTGTGTGTGTGTGTGTGTGTGTGTGTGTGTGTGTGTTTGCATACATGCGTGTCACTGTGTAGTCTGTGTGTGGTAGGAAGGGAGGTTACAAAGCTAGTGGATTATTAAGTAATCAGTATAAGACGTCGAGTAGTAACTGGGATAATTCATGGTTCACATTCTACATACTAAATAATGATACACGCTTGTTCGCGCACATTCCACGAACCTATCTAGAATAATCTATGAACTAGAGTTACATGAAACCATTCCAGACGTGGAGCCAGTTAATTATTAGAATTATGTAGTATTGTTCTTAGTAATATTCATAGGTAGTATTGTTAATTAATAAACATCGTACAGTATTGTTAATTAAGAAACACTGTACAGTATTGTTAATTAGTAAGACCATGCACAGAACGGTGAGGAGCTTGCAAGCTCATGTTGATATATTTTTTGCCAATATACCGTCTTTAAATTAATTAATTAATTAATTAATAAATAAAATGAATACATGAAGAACACTGAATGTAAGAATAGCGGATTTAACTCACAAACCACGCACACGATCCAACCTGTAGAGAAAATATATAGTTTATTTAATAGAATATTACGAAATAATGCAATAAAAATAGCAAAATTTTCAAATAAAAGACATAATATATAATAATATTTAATTAATATTTAAATAGGTGATTAAACTATATCTCATTGTAGCGTAATTATTAAATAAGATGCCCCGTCATGACGTCATACAAAACTGCCGCTCCGTCCGCGAGACCACGAGGGAAAAGAGCGCGCCGAACAATAGAACGCCTTTACGCTCCACAAACAAAAAAACAATTCGCGTAGCAGATCAGAACCAGATGGCGTTAGCTGTCGTCCGTCTACACTCCCAGGCAAGATGGCTGGTTAGTCATAGTGGCTCGCGATATTGTACCGCCTCTCACCTCGCTCCAGGAGAACAGATTGCCGCCGCTGTGGTAGCAGTACTTTGCCATGAACTTCACCTCCTCCGGGGTCAACACGCGGTCGAATATATTCAGGCCGGCGACGTCACCCATCCACGACCATTCGAGATCAAAATTATAACCTCCCCTGTCCTGTTCTTGTCCAATCACGAGCCATCCGCCTCCCGGCATATGATACCCTGGATCACACACACGCACGACGAGCCCAAAGATTAGTCAAGAATACAAATTTTGAGTATATCTAGTATCTATTTGTAGTATAATGAAATGTCGCGCTTTTTTCCGATAGTAGAAGGAAAAATGCGTATAGCGTTGATGAAATTCACGTAAAATTCTCATGCAAATTAATTCGAGAGCGAACCCGAGGTCGTGCAGACCAACAGGCAATCCCTACAGTGCACGGCCGCCATGTCATAACGTCACTGGAATGACGCCACTACCGTGACGTCATCGGTGTGACGTCGCAGTCTTGACGTCATCGGTGTGACATCACGCTCATGGCATCATCGTCGCGATGCTCCGTTGAATTCTTGCACGACATGGGCCGACAGAGGGCGCTGATATACGACGTCGTGATGGCGGACAGTGTTGACGGACGTGCGATTTGCCTACCTGACTGCCTGGTGGCGCCTTGTTTGTAGTTTCCGTCGATGTAAACTTTGGTGACTCCGCCAATCATCGTCCACGTCATGCATACGAAATGCCAAGTGCCGTCACGCAATTGTCCAGAGGCGGTGTGTCTGATGCGATGAAACAATGTTGGGGGTAAGTTTTTATTATGTGTGTGTGTGCGGGCGTGAGTGTGTGTGTGTGTGTGTGTGTGTGTGTGAGAGTGTGTGTGTGTGTGTTGTGTTGTGTGTGTTGATGTGTGTAGTTCGTGTGTGTGTGTGGGTGTGATGAATGTTGTGTGTGTTGAAATGTGCTTGATGAACTTGATGATGTGTGTGTGCGCGCGCTGCGCATATGTGTGTCGGTGTGGCTGAAACCGTGTCGTGTGCGTGTGTGTGTGTGTGTGCGTGTGCGGTGTGCGTGTGGCGACTGTGCGTGTGCGCTGCTGCGTGTGTGTGTGTGTGTTCGTGTGTGTGTCGGCCGTTGTGATTGGGTGTGTGTTGCGTGCGCGCGCCGTTATATCATCTTATCACTGCGGGCCAACAGGTGCATTCTTTAAACAGACAAGAGACCATTCCTCACAAGGATTAGCAACATGCATTTTGAAACCTCAGAGAAGCTGAGCCCCAGCCCATAAGTAAAAACGCTATGAACCATGTGTGACATGTCAAAGCTATATCTCATAACAAGAAGAGGCATGGAAACAAAGTTAAATTTGAGTGTGAGGTGGATTGTCCACGCTATTTAGATGTAATTTTTTATTCGAGCTTGCACGTAAGATATCATCGCTAAATGT